GGTGGCTGCAGAATTTCCATCTGCAACAAAATGTCCTCCATAAAGAGTTAAGCTTGAAGCCAGGCCATAAACTTAAACCACCACCTTCCAGAACAGAAGGCATGATATTTGCATGAGGTATGTTAGAAGATCACAGCCTCTGTGCAACCCTGGCACTGCCTGGTGTGTGATGACCATGTAATTCTGAGGGGCTCTCAAGTCACCCAGCAATCCAGACTGCCTTCTAATACTTTTAAGATCCTCTGTTCTACTTAGATGTGACATCCAATTCTAGGAATTAGAAAAATATCTCCCTATACATGTAAAAATAATTATAGTTACATCTTGATTTTCTGAGTTAGTATGGACAAAATGGGGTATTAAGGACTTCAATTTATTGGGATGAACAAAAACATTATAATAGTTCTTGCTCACAAATACTTACAGTGGCTAATCTCAGATGGAAGATGTGTGGCTATCTGAAGTCTATCAAATACAGGGTTTTTTTCTTCCAGGTACTGTAGAAATGACAATGCCTCATGCAAACAGTGAAGTAGCACAGATTCAAAGATTATACAGGTGTAAGGGAATACCTAATTATCTCATTAGGTACATAAAAAAACATATACAGAATTACCACAGACACCAATCCCTCCTGCTAAAGAGAGCCTCAACAGTAAATTCACTGATTTTTACTAGATATATTAGCATTATTTTCATTACTGAGGACTTCTAGTCTCCTACTGCTTCTTGAATAGGTATTTGTATTACCATCCAAATTCAATAACAAGGCTATTTAAAACAGATGAGTAGGTTCTGTCTCAATTAAGAAAAAAAACAAAAACCAAAACCAAAACAACACTAAGACAAAACCACAGTAGAACAAAACAAAACTGTAGGGAAACTAAAAATTATGTAAGAGGAGCCTGCATTTCACAGAATCAAACCTGTGGGATGGGAACAGCTGATTTAGCTGAAAAGTTAATCCATACAAAATGAATGCCCTTCCTTTCTTGCTGTTATATCTTAAGAGGACTTCATAAGGTTATCACCATTTGCTCCCCTGGCCAAAGATAGCGTATCTAGTATATGTACTTTTAAGCTAATTTAAAATAAACTCAGGCATTTGTTTCCACTTGCCCTTGTTTCCATGTCAACAGCACTTAACTAATGCATCATTCCAGGAAATGTCAATAGGGAGCAGAGAAGAATGAACAAGCACTGAAAACTTCACACATGACATACATCCTTCACAATCATATCGCTTTAATGAAAATAGGTGAGGTCACCTGCAGCATTCACAAATGCTTTGTAATACATTCTGACCCAGATGATTTTTCACAGTTCAGTAACAACACGTTTGAAGTTTTCACTGCAAATACACCCATAGGACTGACCAAGTGCAGGTACAAGAGAAGCAACCAGCAATTACTGTGTTGACTTCTGTTACTTTGATCTCCAGGTCATGACCTTTGCTTTCAGGCAATCTTCAAAGTAGAGATTGTAGAATAGGTTATTTTAGAGGACACACTGTTTTGCAAGATATTTTTCTGTATTTCTTGCTTCCTGTTTGAGTCAAAAGCCTTTAAAACTTTCCGATCAACATTATATTTTAGATATTCTGTTTTCTCTTGCCCTCATCCCCAAGATACCCCTTTAACAAAATATCACCTTCCAAAAAAAGAAAGCTTAAAAAAAAAAAAAAAACAAAACACATATAACCTTTTTTTTTTTTTTTTTCCTGAAAGAAAATAAAGCTATTTTACAATGATGGAAAAAAGTGAGGTTTTGTAATGAACTAAACCAGTTTGCTTATAAAATACCATAGAAGAGAACTTTCCATTTTCTTTTCTTCTCTAAGCAAAAATTCCAGTAAAAACATAGAAATGTTTTCAATTTGTTCTCCTACACATTTGAAAGGTAAGGAGGAATAACAGGGATGGAAAAATAAATAGGTTTTATTTTTTCTTTTTCTAAAAAAAAAAAATCTCACTCAAATGTTACTATGTTTCTTAGAAGAAAATAGCTACTTTGAGAAAAAGTCACAACAAAGTTTTTGTTTAAATTAAAAACTAGCAAAAAGCTTTAGTACTGAAATTTGTATACCAATGGATTACCCAAGGAATCAGATCCTTACTTCTTGACAAAAAGCATAGTTTTATACATTTTCCAACTATTCACGATAAAACATAATTATTTTCAAAAGATGTAATACTACTTTTTAATTCTGTTACTAATACCACAGTAAATCACTGGACTTTGAGTTTTTAAAAATTTTACTTTCCACATTTTTTTGAGGTTGAGATTTTGGGGGTTTTACAGGTCTTTTCAGTTTGTTGGAATGAGAAGATTAAGCTTTGATTTTTCTAGCACCTCTCTTTTTCTGGTTGAGGAATTAAATAGCCTGAACTCTAATTGAACTCAGTAGGAATGAAATTAAAGCTCAATGAAAAATGAAGCTGTGGTTCCAACGGTCACTGCAAAAATTTACAAAAAGTTCCCATTCAGAAGAAAACAAAACCATTTAAAGTTTATGGTAAAGCAAAATGTTTACATAAATCAGGTTCACTGAAATGCAATCTTTTGACCCTTTCTGTATGGCAATTTTTTTCAAAAAAAGAAAAATCTTATTAAAAAAATATTACTTCAAACCATTAAAAATCCTGAAACTGGCCATTTCAAATATTTGCTTTTGAGATTTGAAGCAATACATTTGATAAAATACAAATATTTTCTCACTCAGGAAAGCTTGATGCTGTGAAATCTGTGAGGTACTTCTGTACATATGGAGGAAGGAAGAAAAAGGCTGCATCTAAGATGCTTCAGAACATGTATTCAAAACTCTGAATAAGCTATTCAGAGAAAAATTAGCAGAGTGCTTTTAATCAGTTCTACCATGTAGGTGAATATATTCTCCTAAAGGTAGGTAGGTAGGTAGGTAGGTAGGTAGGTAGGTAGGTAGATAGACAGACAGACAGACAGACAGACGCTTTTGGGTTTTGAGACTCACATTGTCTGGCAAACGCATTTCATATAATGTAACAAATAATTATGGGAAAAGATCAGGAAGCTTTCATTATAGCAGCAGAATCATAAATCATTCAATGAATTAGAATTCCATTCTTCTTTCTTAAAAGAGCTTTAATTAACCTAGTTTATATGGAAAAAATACCAATTTAAAAAAAAATAAAAAATTGAGGAGAAAGGAAATAGAGTGATGCTGTAGTGTCCAGCAGATTCATAAATACAATCACTTCATACTTTGTCATGGTGGTTTGCCATGATGTGACCTGAAACTAACTTCACCTCCCTGAAATCAAAATTTTTGCATTGAAATGAAACAACAGACATGCTTGTTTTGATGTATGGCTGTGTGACATATTATAAATATTACATCACATAACCACAGAGGATGTCAATCAATAAAGAATTTTTTTCAGACAGCACTAAATGAACCACGGGTTCTTGCCTCTGAATGGCTCCTTTAACATACTACTTTTGCTTAAATGATTAATAGGAGACATATTGTCAGAAAACATACTTAAAGTGAAAAACAGTAAACTGTAGAAATATCATTCATTTTTTAAGCAATTCTCTAGTGCAAATGTCACATAAATTTACATAGAGACAGCACTATTAGACTCTCATAAGCTGGATAGCAGGCATACCTTCCACTTAAGTGTGAAAGCAATGGGAAAATATTTTATTAAATCTAGGCTGTTCCACTTGGCAAAAACCAAAATATTACAGCTAAGATGGATTCAAAAGTTGAATTGTTAGAAGGTGAAAGCCTTTAGGCTAATGGCAAACTAGAAATCCTTCTCAAAAATTTGCAAGAAAAAGTATATGCACACACAGGACAGCTGTGCTGCTGTTTCAACCTACATCATTTATGAGCAATAAACTGGTGCATTGAATTCATGCCACTTTCCAATAAACCTGCTTTTAGTCTCCACCATTTTGTATTGTTCTATACTAACTTCTACAGCAGAGTTTAGATTACATGAAGATAAAATCAGAGTTTTACTATATACCTCTGAATACTGCAGGTGATCTTCTAAAAAAAGAAAGCTCAGGCTCTGCAAAGTCAGCAGCATTGTGACCAGTCCTGTTTGGATCTGACTTGCTTCAGACAGCCATTTTCAGCCAATGTGAAAAATCCTCTCACAAAGACTGAAATATTGTATCAGATGTGAACACGGAAAAAGTAATCCAACTTTTTTTTTTTTTTTTTAATAATCAATATCTCACTTGCCTAAATGTTATAGCTATGAAAATTATGTCACTTAAGCAGTCATTCCATAAGTTTTGGATCTATACTCACAGTCATCATCAGTCACAATTATTTTTATTTTTAAAAAAATAACCCTTGTAACTTTTAGCAATATTTCAGTTGGATCAGTTGAATAGTATTTTATCATTAATTTCCACATGACCTTTTGTGTAACCTAGTTCATCAAAATTACATTATAAAAATAGTTTCAGTGGTTTTATTTGAACCTAAACACTAACTGCTCTGACTAAAGCAGCACAATGTACAAGGAGTCCTTTCTCTGTGTTCTTTAATAGTGCCTTGATATCTATAGTAGAAGAAACTCATCACCATAATTGAATGTTAGCAGAAGATAATGCGACTGTCTGAGCGTAGTAATTTTGGGTTTTTTATTGACTGTCACCCTTAGCATATGTAAATGTTGACCTACCTACCTTGACCTTAAAGAAGGAAAGGCTGTAAGTAGGCACATATGAGCACCCACATTCAGGAAATCCTGTGCATACCTGCTAAACTCAAACATGTGCTATAGAGCACTGAAATATTTCTTGAAATAGAGTTCCTGAGAGTGATCTTGCTGAAATGGGGTTACTCACATTCCAAGGTGTTTCATAGCAGAATATGCCACAATGCTTTCAGAATAGAGTAGATGTTTGTTTGAGACTCTGAGTTGGGTTTTTCCAATACTTTTCCAATAACAAAACAAAAGTGACATTACCTTATCATATCTACAAATGAAAATACTAACCTGTACCTCTGGTAGTCATCTTCATCTTTTTCTTTGCAGACCAGTTCATTTGGGCAGGCCATGTTTCCAAGCAAACTGAGATACCGTAGTGAGGGCACAACTTCAGCCAAATGGTCCAAAAGGCTTTCTAATTCTGTTATGTGTCAAAGGTTGTGGGTTAAGGATTCAATGACATTAAAGAAGAAAGCATTTAGAGTTGCATCACTTCTGATTTAAACATACATTTCAATAACTCACAATCAAATTTATTATGGCATTTATGAAAATGTCACATTAATTGTTCAAAGGCAAACAGGGTCAAACTTCAGTAAGATTTTTGGCATGGAATGAAAGAATTTGGCTGTTTTGTCATTATTTCCTTCTTCTTTCTTTCCTAGGTGGTTCACTACAAAACATTAAAACTTTGACAAAATGATGGATGCTATGTGGTAAAATGGCTAGCAATTGCTGGAGCCATGAAACTTTTCCAGCATGGAAACAAACAGTTAGTTTCACAGAACATTCATCACTAATATATTCAGTCCACTGGAAAATGAGTTTAAGAAAAAAAAAAAGAAAAAAAGTCAAATCATAACAATCCACTTTCACTTGCAACATATAAACGCCTTGAATGCCACAGCAACACATCTGTAATTACTCAATTAGTATATGTGAATTAATGCTTCACTAAAAGCCACTTAAAGACTTCAATGTTACAAGTATTTTATATATTAAGCTTTAAAGTCTTGTAAAGCATGAGATTTTTCATTAAAATACCTTGTATTTTGGTGCTCATGAGGCTTTTTAACTTAGCTCTATTCCTCAGAACATAAATAATAATGATACACCTTCAATATTGTAAACTATATTGAAACAAATAGGCAAACAAAGGTTAAACTATCTTTTAACCATTGCAATATCAGAAATCACATTTTAGGCTTAAGTATAACAACAATATTCAACCATTCACACCCTGCTGATTGATCAAATAAAACAAATTATTTTGTTAAATATAGTGTGACGGTCTCTAAGACTCAAACTACAGGTTTCTATTTACTTCAATTTACATGCAAAGAAAAAGGCATGATTCTCAAAAAAGATGCCATGTATATGTGTGTAAAAAGTTTTCAATGTTTAAATATTAACTAACTTAGACAATAGTAATAATTATTCAAAACTATTAAAGGGCATTTCACTGTTCTGTTTTATCCACTCCTGCTGTCAGAGACCGCAACTATTGTTTTAAATCCTCGGTTCACTTGTGCTGTTATTATTTATACTTGATTTATGTGTTTCTGTTATCTTTGTTATTTTTAGCTGATGGAATTTACTTTATTTCTTCACCTCAATATCTTAAGGGCAAGAGAAACAATACAGAATGAAAAGAGCAGCTTCATCATTAAAAATGTGGTCTTCCTTTTATAAGTCTGAATTTTTATTTTATTTCCAAACACACATGAAGATCATGCTAACAATTACTTATTTAAATATATTAAAAGCAGTGTATCTACACTCATAGTTAATATTATGTCCCATAAGGTCTGAGGAATGATACTTAAATATTTCACATGAATGAGAAAAATGAGGGTTTAAAATTACTTCTATTAATTCATTAAAAGGGTAAAAATGCTAACTTTTGGCAAAGCCACATTATGGAAAGCTATATGCCAGTAAGTAATCAACCAGACCCTAAGAAAAATTTTCTTTTTGTAGCACCATAGGATATAAATCTTCTTTGTTAGCTAGGATGAATTCCCAATCAAAATCTGCTGCTAATTCTTGTCTTTTCATATCTGGACCTTGATCTCATACATAGACTTTTTCATGGCTCTTTCAGGAAGTGTATGACTCTGATGGGAAGGTCGCAAACTGTTTTTCCATACATGCTCAAGTGAAAAGATTTTTTTAAATTTCCTAAGACTGACAGAGATATGCTTATATCTGGCACTCTCCCTCAGCCAGGAGAAACATTTATTTCAGGACTGCTTAAAATGTAAAAAGGTTCCCTGAGATAAATAGTTTATTATTACAAAAGACAGTTATTTCCATAACAGCAATCAGACACAGGGGATTAGCTATTGCAAGGTCATTTCATATTGACAGAAAAAAAACCCCACGCCTGAACCTTTTGCATCTTCTGTGGAGTAAACATGCAGAATTTTTGCTTGTCAATTCAGTAGAGCTTCTTCTGGGGTAGAAGCTTTTCTCCCCAACAATTTGCTGAAATTTCCATCTGACCACGTAGACTGAGGGGCAAATATCAAAATGTATTTAGACGTGTAATGATGAAGAGCATCATCAGCTTAATTTTGCAAAAATGTAACACTATGCATCAAAGTCCTACGGCAAGCAAAAGGAAGAGACACCAAATTCTCTGAGTTTTGGGTAAATAGCAGCACTTGATAATCCGCATCTCAAAAATCTAAATCTCCCTAAATTTTGAAATCAGTGTCTAGATTCTAATATCACATATCTAAACCCTGAGCATTGATTTTTAGATGAACCCCCCCTAAAAATTATCTCGGACAAGGATGACCAAGAAGCACACACAGATCTCTTACCATGCAGTTCTGTGTGTGACTCTCCAGATCTCTGTTATCATTTACTTGTCTCCCTCTACTGAAATAGATATTTAGCATCCTAGCATTATTTCAATTTCAGCTGCAACATAAACGTGTGCACAGGACAAACCCCAAAATGTGGACATAATCACCCCAAAAGTAGAAGGTCACTATTTCATAAAATGTTGAAGCTTTGCAGGCTTGGACAGCCCAAAAATAACAGAACACCAGCAACATTTGAGAAGAAACCAACATGTAGTTTATGATAGTCACCTTTTTTTGTCCCAGAATCAGCAGTTATATCATAAATAAAATATCTATTTGTCAGGATTTTAAGTATCTTTCTCATCTCTCTAAAAACAAAAAAAGATGCAAGGTAAAGATTATTTTTCCAAGAAGCCCCATCCACCTACCATCACAGTTATTCTTTACAAAGCATGTAGGAAAAAATAAATTATATCCTCTTCAAATTTTCATGATTAAGTGTTTCTCAAAGATGAGTCATAAGTCATGGTGAACTTCTAATGTACTGTTTGTTAATTAACATGTCATATACATATTTTAGTCACAATATTGGAACTATATGATGCCACCAAAAGTCTAAAACAATGCTAAGAAAATACAGAGGGAGGAAACCAAAAGCAAGTCTAAAATTTTATTGCCAGCTTCCTTTCTATGGTTTATTGATGCAGCTTAAGGAGTGCTATATTGGTGCAATCAGAGCCAGAGAGCTGCAAAATCATGCTGTGCCATTTCTAAGACCATTTTCAACTCCATTCTCTCCAAAAAGGAAAGCCACAATTAAATACATGGAGAGTGCTAGCGAAAATCTATTTATTTAAATCTCTGTGACAACAGCCCAGAATTGATCTTTCTGAATTCAGTGTCACTGGTCATCAGGTGAATACATAAGTGATGCAAATACTTACACTATAGTCTACTGTTTAAAAACTTGCTAAAGTGTTATGATAATTAAAGCGGCTTAGTGTACTGATCCACCTCCTAACTCAACAGTGTCATCATTACCAGTCTATTAATGCCTCTTTCTAATCGACATTGACTAAAATAAAAATTTGCAACAAGAATTTTAAACTCTTCAACTCTTTAGCTCACAAGCTAAAACATTAATTCTCAACAATTATACAACAATGGTCCCACTCCAAAAACACAACCTGGCATCCATGAATAATTAACAGAAACACACTAGACATACTTCAAAATAGATGCTCATTTCACGCTCATCAAAAGACTATACTGACTTGTTGCACTATTTTTATTTTTAAATTAGGGAAACATTTACAAGAACTGGGTCTCTCACATACTCAGATTAACTATTTTAAGCCTCTTCATTATGTCTCCTTACCTGTGTCCTTTCACTAGACCATCCAGCATATTTCCAGGGCACAGACACAGCATGAATCCTTTATAGAGAGCAATATAAGGGTCTATCTATTTTAAGTACTGATGACTGAAGCTGATCACCCCCAAACTCCATACCGTTTCCTCTCTTACTGGTATTCTTGGTATATCAATGGTTGTTTTTCAGGGACAACTGCTGGTCATACCCATACAGAAATACAATTTTTGCTAACAGTTTCTAAATGAAATTATTCTTTATAACTTTATACAAGTGCTACGCTAACATATAACTGTCCAAACCTATACATATTTCCTATCTCAACATTCAATTATATTTTGGATATAGACTGAAGTATGCAAGACAATCTGGGATTTCTTTCTATAACCTTTTTCTCTCAGTAGTGCTTTTTACTAGTCACACACTCAAATACAATGACTTTTTAAGAAAAATAACCACTCTTGTTCTCTTGGTGCTTTTCATGTTGCTCCACCACTTCCTTTAAAGAAGTTTGTACTTAGTCTTTTCAAATTTTTAGCAACCCCACTTCCCCAAAAGAGTTGCAGGAGAGATTTTCATGTTAATGACCTTCTGTGATTACAGCTTTTGGAAGTTCTTGGGAGCAAAGAGACAAAGGAAAGAACAGTCAGCTTTACATTCAAAATATTTTAAAATACATACATAGAGAATACCAGAAATATCACACAGAATTCCAGACTGCCACATACAAAGACCCAAAATTGTCTTTCAAAAGCCTTCTGCCAACTAACCATCTGTCATGCAGGTGCTGCAATTGACCTAACATTAAAACAGCCGGATAGCACTTCTTCCGGAGTCATAAATGAGCAAGGTACCTATATTTATTCCCATTTGAAATATTTGCTTGAATTAAATTTATCACAAAGATGATGTAGCAATCACAACCTATTCCACAGGCAAATAGCCTTGAAGCAGAAGTGTCCTGGTTCAGCTAGGATAGGGTTAAGTTTCCCCAGCAGGGAGGGGAAAGGGATCTTCAGGCGGGTTATTAATACCATGATGACGTCAAGTCTGGCGCGGCAGCATGGGAAGCTTTTTCCTTTGTGGCTTTGGTCGCAGGGAGCATCACGAGCAAGCTGTCTGTATCCATTGCGGTATTTCTCTGTATATCTTTTGTTTTGTTTAGTGTTATTACTGTTTATTGTTGTTATCATTGCTACTGTTGTTGTTCAGATTGTTTATCACACTGTTGTATTAAATTTCC